CATCTCTCCTCGTTGGCCTTTCTGCATATGCTTAAGTATCTTAGGGTCCGTCCGGGTGTCACACTGCTTCTCTGTTCTGTACTAGCCAATAAATACCGGTAGATAAATATTCGTCTAGGGTGGTAGTGCTTTGACACTTTATTGTTGTTGTCATTGTGATCTGAAGTATCAGGGTCAAAGGTCGTGTTCCCAGATCAATTATGTCTGACGCTTGGCCTCTCAGAATGATTTAATCGATGTTCGTTTCTGCGGCGATGATCGTATTCCTTGTCGCAATCAAGTCCGCTTCTAGCAACTGCTTTAGAATACGATGTTGTCGTTGTCCTCCTTTACTGCTATTAAACCTGCCCTTATACCTTGGTCTATATATGCATGACGTCATGAGATAATACGTTGGTCTCTATAGAATATACGTCAAGTAATATTTTAGTCTCTTCTGGGTCTGTGGTTTGAGACAAATAAATCACTGGTTTATGTGCAGGTTCGAAGTACTGTCATTGATAAATTCGTCATTTAGTCACGCAAATCATGATCGAAACGAAATCATGATTTTTCCAGAAGAATTTTTTGCGTCGGCAATTGGTTGCTGTTAAATGCTAACAGATTTAAACAGTATTTTTCAGTGCACGGGAAATTTTCCAGTTCAGTGATTATGGGCACGAAGAAACTTGAAAGTCGAAGGGCTTTATTTACAAGCTGGTGACTGGGACAACATGTGTATTTTCCATAATTAAGCCTGATGTAAAATGTTTACTCGGCACTCACCTAGGCCCGAGCGATGGACAACGCAGTTTCTGCTCGAATATATTGACTTGTACTGTTTTTAAGGTTCTATTGGTTACGATTCAGTCGGATTTTGATGCATAAGGGTAACGAAACCCGTTCTCCGTTGAGAAAAAGTTTGCCATTGTTGTTTTGCATTTGTTTGTGTTAACAATGTAGCTGATTGAAAATCAGTATATATTTAGTTTATTTAATAAGATACGGTATTTAATCTGTATGTAATTATTTTTATATCTGATAACGATGTCGATATGTTGTGTATTGCTCGTTCACCCATTAACAAAGTATATCTTTTCGCCATATGGATACAGTAGATACATGACTGTCGTTTATTATTTCGCTCTCTAAATGACATAACTGGCGAATGTTCTTTTAGCACCCCTTACAACCAGTTAATTCGATTGGATGATATCAGAAACTACGCTGGACAGGCGGCCGCCGCCGCTTCCGCCGAACACCTGAGCATGCTGGTGAAGAGGGATCCGCGGGAAGTGGTGTACAACTAACTGCTCTGCTTCGACCGTCGTCGTCATGTCTAGAAGGAAAGACTGTATCCGGCAAGTGACAGACCGGCTTTAAAATACACTGACTTTTGACCGCGTGGACGATGATGGCCTTCGTTGGGCGCCTGCCGGACGTGCCTTGGCGACGAACCGGGATGCTGGTGGGTGGGTGAACCGAGCGCGACGAATGCAGTTGGCTTTGCGTGCGTTCAGTGCCGGACGGTCAGTGCGGGGCCGACCGAAGTCTGGCCGCACGTGTGCCCCCGGCATTGTGGTCGATTGCCGTTCATTTCCTTGTGCGACCGGACAGGACAGGCAGTGCACCGTTTTGCGTGTGACGTGAAGGAAAGGGACGGGGCGGAAACGACCCGACCTACGGCACGGATCGGGTCGACTACGCTGTTTATCGTTGTCCCTTGGTCTGCCCGTCTCGTCTATCTGTCATAGCGAGTCTGTTAGTAAGTCGATGCCGATGTGATCGCTCGTCGTCTGTCGTATATAGCGAATGCGCATGCCCTTGGTACACTATTCCTGTCGAAATAAAATGTAGATTTCTCACCTCTCCTCTCAAGTCTCCTGGTACATATCCGTCCATCCGTCGCCTATCATATTTCTGAAATATCCTAAAGCGTTCCGCCCCAACGTCATCGTCGTCGTCGCACCACTATTTATAAAATTATGGTGGATTGACTGGTGATGGTATTATATTGATTGTTTTGCAAAGCATGGACCACCACCGCGAAGTTCTTGTCGTTCAACAACTGGAAACCGATCGAAAGCGAAACGGATGTTCGTCGTTGGTCGTGTTTCGTTTCGCTCGTCGGAATGTTGGAACGGTCGCCCTCGAAAAACATCTGTTGGATCTTCATCCGCCCGCCACCCACCGTGTCACACCATCTGCTCGCCTGGCTGCCCCTGTCTCGTGATGGGTTTGGGCTGGGTTCTGGTTGGTATAGCACGTCACGCTGCTCCCGGTCTTTCGTTGCTTCCTTCTCGTTCGTTCGTTCGCTCCCTCATTCGTGACCGTTACCGCCGTTACGTCACGTCACGTCACGTCATTGGCAGACGTCAGCCAGCCGCCGGCATCTCCAGCAAAGTTGCATCCGTTTGTATTCGTGTTCTTCACCTGTCTGTCCGACCGCAGAGCTGTCTCACTTTCTTTCTCATGTACCAAGTAAAAATGTCATAACTTGATCGCGATTAATGCTTGTTACGCTGTTGCAAAAATTTACACTGTTATACATTGATTTCAGTCGTGCGTGTATGTCGGTCTGTGTCGCTTTGTAGCATAACAGATGATGCACATTAGCAATAGGTTGTATAGATATTATTTTGGTACTGTTTTTTGTAACTGTAGATTTTGTTGTCGCCATCTGGTTGCGCAATGCAGCTGTGATATGTGCGGGCGAAAATTTTTGAACACGACGGCGTGGTCGATGGCGACCGACTCCTACTACTACTCGACTCGTTTCGTACGTACGCGCGAGTCCCGCCGACCCGTCGAACGTGTTTCAGAAACAAACCCGGTATTTTCTGTTGCTCACAGTTTATTTTAACGGTTTTGTTGTTTTCTTCTCACTTGGGACATTGCCAGATCGTACGACGAGACTATGTTCCTTGGAACAGTTTCTTTCTTATGCTTGAAATTGCTTCCCTGAAGTTCTTCGTTTCATTAGAGCGAAATAAAATAATCTTCGAACGAAAGAATTAAAAATCGTCGACGTGATGAGTCGCCGCCGCAATACTCTTGTCCAAATTGTTAGTCGCTTCGGTTGCTTGCTTTATCTTCTTCTTCTTCTTCTTTTTCGCCGTCGTCTGCTTCTGCTACTTCTTGAAAATCACGTATTCCCATACGTTGTATTCGTGTATGTCTTGTGGCTAAAGCCTGTGGCGAAAAAAGGTTTTCTCGTAAAGTTGTTGCTGTATGCAGATGCAACGGGTCCGTCGAATTTGGCAGCGTTCCAAAGTGCGTGTACCGTGCGACGCGACACCGCACCAGAGCCACCAGCTGGCTAGCTGTACTATATACATATGCTATATACTGTACGGTTGCCAGCGCTCAGACTTTCGGCTACAGTCTCTTACTGACTGAAACTGACAGCGTGTGTGTACGGTGAGTGTGGACGCGACGCGAATCGGCTGCACGTGTTCCTTGTCCTGAACGCGGCAGCCGTTCAACAGCTGTCTCGTCGGGATGACCCGCGGTGACCGGTCTGTCTCCGTTTGTTTTTTTCGCAGCCGAGTACGCGACGATGACCACTCGTCAGTGACCAGTGACCACTGACCGACCAGTGTTGAGCAGAGAACTAGTGTCGCGGCGTTCTTTCCTCCAGGCTGGTTTCGCGGCGACGGAGGCGGTGCCCGCAACGTCACCGTACTCACCTACCGTACACCTGCCGATGGTCGACGAACGCCGCGTGTGGTTCGCGAGCAGTGCATTAACCAATATGTGATATTACGTTTGTTTGCTCTTTGCGTCGAGTTGCACCGCCGCAATGGAATGTTTTCACCGTGTACTTGTGCAATCCACGCTTTTTACGGTGTTATTTTTTTATCTGCCAGTTGTGCTGGTTTTCGAATGCCAATTAAGGCATTAAAACAGTAAATTACAGCAGTAAAGTTTCTTAGACAAGGCGAGCGATTCTTGATTCTTTTGTGTGCCATTTTTGTACTTGTTGTTCAGCTTTCTTTTCGTTGTTCAAGCCCGTTGCTATGCAAATCACTGCTGGACGAAACGCGACCTCATCTAGCGCTAATCATCTGCAGCGGTCGTCAGGGAAACTTGGATAGGCAAAATATACTGTGGAACTGTGAGTTTTCACAGTGTATATGAGTCAAAAATTTCGCCGTGGCGGTTTCTACCGTTTCAGCAACGCATGTATTTGCCCCCCCTCCAAACTCCACCGCCCCGCCTAAGACGCTCTAGATTGGCCAATTTCTAACGCATGCGGCCGTTCACACTGTAGCCCGAGAACGCACTTCCGGATGACGCCGTGATGCTCCCGTCGGTTATAATACGACATCATCGTCATTTTCCGATACTCCCAGCGCAGTCGTTCTGCTCTGTGGACTCATCAACTTCGAAGTTGTCATGTGTCGCAGTTTTTTGGCGTTTTTGATTGACTGCTTGAAAATTGACATGAAAAATGAGCTATTTCTTTCGCTGTATTATGTTATTTTTGGTATCCTTCTCTGGGCAAGTTATCTGCGGATGCGAGTAACTGTGATTATCTGACATTTCGATCCGTATGCTGTTGACCAGAGAAAACACGTCCAGCTGTGTTTCTCACAGGATGTTAGTGGGTGGGCGATCGAAAGACTCAAATCTCTTTGTAAAGAAAAACTAGCCGTCTTGCATGCAGATGCATCCCAGTGCCATGGAGAAATTCTTTCACATTATTATCTGGTTATCCGACCAGTTAAGAACACTTGAAAGATTTCAAGTTGGAGAGAAAAGTGTATTTTTGTTGGAGAGTATTTAAAGTCTCTCACATGTTCCAAACTGGTCTCAGAACGAGGTGATAATGCCATAAAGGTGACATGATTGCCCCGTTACTTGTGCATTAATCTGTCTGAGATGGAAGCTGTTTGAGAGCATTCTTGGACGTCGGATTGGAACTTTTTGATCTTCGCTATGAAAATTGACAGTGACACTGAAATGAGCTGTCATTGAGAAATATTAGTTGATTTTTCCTGTTTGGACAAAGCCGTTAAAGAGCCACAAACAGAGAGAGGACACAGCTGTCTTCAGATGCCTTCAGGTAATCTACCCTGAAGAAGGATACTGAGAACTACCTTGGTAGCCTGTTCATCATGTTAAGTCCCTGGCAGTCAATTTACATGGACGCGGTAGCACTTTATTACCTTCGCATTCGCATTTTGTCATGCCGTTCGAAAAAGTCCGCTTTAAACAAAAGCAGTGGTTAACTACAATCTTGGACAGAAGAACTGTGCTTTGCCTTTGGTTCTTCGTTGACGTACTAGTTCTGTCATCCTTAACATTAGAAATTCAAATATGTAAAATTTCTCCCTATGTTTATTACCAAGTTTTATCATTCTCATAAGCGGCTTTATCCTCAAGACACGGATAGCCTTGTGGATGAGAGCTTCTTGCATGGTTATCTGTCCACTTTAGAACTTTCGGTAGCTGAAGTGGGCTGAACTCGTTCATCCATATTTCTCACCGATGGCTGACCCAAATATTATGTTATTTCAAGTTGTTCACAACAGAATACTCAAAAATTAAGATCCTTTCACTTGAGGTTCTGTTCGCGGTTTTTTTCTACATGGTAGGTATTAAACAGTCATGGGTTATTTAGTGTTGGTATGTAGTTTTTATTATTGTAATAAACGTTTTGCTCTCCTATCGCCTTGTATTAGCACAATCATAGTTCTCTCAGGTGTCGAAGTTTGATTTGCTACTCCCTTTTCCACACCCAAAATCCTGTGATTCTCATGTTATTCGTCTGGACGGACGGAATTGCGGTCAGAGTGCCATTTGCTTTGGTCCGATGTTGGTTTGGACTTGCTTTGATTTGCCTACCTGAAGATTTAAGGGTTCCTGCGAGATTTCGACGCTTATTGCCAGAATGTACTCATGTAATGATTACTCATGACTTGTTTACCTGGTTTCATTACCTCTTTACGACACTGGCGTCAGACTGGAATAATGGTTAGGGAAGGAGCAAACGGTTTTGTTCGCATTTCTGATTGAAGAAACTTTTTCCGTTATTTCCAGCCTAA